TATCATTGTTAAATGAAGAAACACTTTGTTCCATGGAGAAGGCGATGCCAGTGAATAAACAAATATCAGCAGTGACGTATGGAACACTACAGTACTTGTTGAAATTAACAATCAGATTCAAACAAATCAAATGTATTTGCTTTTACTTATAAAATCATTTATTACCAAAAACTATATTTATATTCATACAAAAGTCCTGTAGGTAATGGTTAGAAAAAAACTAGTCTACAAATTCCATAAATATACTAGGTAATATGCAATCATGCCTACACCGCAGATGGATCAAATATTAAAGAATAAATGTACCGATATTAAATTGTTTACGCTTTGAATATCTTATAAAAGCACTTATTTTGTTTTGCGCAAATATCTTCTTAAATATGCATACAGTAAAACCACCCCTATTAAGGAGACACTTTTTCGGTCCCAATGGTGTCCGCTTAATAGAGGTTCTACTGTATTATGCTTAAGCTATTTAAGTGTTGAATTATATTGTTCCATTTTTGTTAACTCAGCAAACGTGTTACTTGGTACTTCTATAGCACATATCCCCTTTGGTTACACAGCGTAACAAAGACTACCTTTATTATTTATTTCTTTCATACCCAACAGCAAGTACACAAATCACTAATTGACCTTTCAGCTAAGCCCCGCCCCTTTGAGATTGTTGCTAAGGTAACGACAGTGTAAAAATATACGCAAACACGTGCGTTTGTGGGACAATAAGTATTTTTGTGAGACACGCGCGTATTCCTGGCCATGTTCTGATTGGTCAGTTGTTAAGTTTGATTGACATTCCAAAAAGGTCCATTACAGGATACATCGGTGGTCTGTAAGCTAAGGCTAATGAGACTTAAGGAGTGGAGCTGTTTCTAACAGGGTTTGAACCTAAAACATGGGGTTGGAAGGCAACCATCTTACCCACCAGCTCCATATCCAGTTTTAAACTCAGCTAATTTAGGGATTAAGGGCTCCAGTTCATTACCCGATTAATGCATCTCTTGTAATGGTAATGATATTAATGTAATTTTCTGACAAGGATGAAATAATTCCCAGCTAACAATATTACGTTATAAAAACGTTACAGTTTGGTGATAAAAACGCTATTTTGTAGAACCATATGTACGTACTTATAACCTAAATTCACAGCATTTGAGCGTTCTTACAACGTTGTGTGAACGTTATGTAGTAATATACCTAACCACAACGTTCTGTGTTGTATATCTGTAGGGGCCTATCTATTTTATCTGTATCTATTACTGTATATCTGTATTAGATTCAGATACTTTGTTTCTGTATAATGGATGTTGTACATTATATTCCCACAGAGGCATTTATAACAATGAAGTAATAGATTATATTGCTTTTTAATGCAATACCAAAGCATTCATTTCACACTCTTCAATAATATTCCGAATCTATGTTAATTGCATTTATATGTTTAATAATGCATAATTAGTCGTCTTCATAATTCATCTCTTTGTTGTACATCATTCTCAACATGTACTACATCTTTTTCATCTTCATCATCAACAATATCATCGTTTTCTACCTCCACGGTTAAAAAATCATCATTTATATCATCATGTATCTTCGATTTTTCTTTTAAATCCACGTCACTAGTTGGTTTTACATTTTCCATTAGATTATCATCAACTATATTGACATCACTTTTTGGGCCATCTGTGTCGGCTTGACAGAGCGTAGCCTTTTCCTGTAATATCTTATATTCTTGACAACTTGAACTCATCACAGACCCAAGTATCAGTTTACTCATCATGCTGCAACCTTTAAAAAACGACGATTAGTTCATTAATTTAAAAAAAATCATCAATCTTCTAATAGATGTGAAGAACATTGGATAACCTCCGAGACAATGAACAAACTATCAATACCTGAAGAAGGACATGAACTACCAAACCCGGCGATAAGCAATTACGAACTACAGAAGGGCATGAACTTTCCAGCCTACGAAAGCAATTACTGCCCTGTAAGGGCAAGAATGACTTGAAAAAGTCTTCCTAGATTGGAAACAAACAAGATTATCCTGGGGATTGGCATAAGTCCCCTGCCTAGAGGCAACATGTAGTTCATTAATTTAAGAAATCATCAATCTTCTAATAGATGTGAAGAACATAAGCTCCGAGCCAACGAACAAACTATCAATACCTGAAGAAGGACATGAACTACCAAGCCTAGCGATAAGCAATTACTAGCTACAAATTGGCATAACTTTCCAGCCTACGAAAGCTATTACTGCCCTGTAAGGGCAAGAATGACTTGAAAAAGGACTTCCTACATTAGAAATAAACAAGATTATCCTGGGAATTGGCATAAGTCCCCTGCCTAGAGGCAACATGTTGCCCTGCGTGGTTATGTGGTAGGCCTACTAAGAGCCAGTCAATATCGGGATAGTGCTGATACATTTAAAAACCTCCACCAACAATGTCTAATACATACCTTGCTTGTGTGAGTCTTTACGTCCAAGAGCTTTCATAGCTTCTTTACATCCAGCCTTTAAGCACTTTTGTAAGTTTCTGTCACAGTTTTTTTTCTCTTCCCCAAATGTTCCATAGCAGATATCATGTGTATCACAACATTTATCAATCTCGGGAACGACAGGAAAATCAAACTGATGGTAGAAAAACGTTTATTATTACATTATCACTATTTTTTATATATTCATATTTCTTATTTATATTTTGGGAACCAGTTTAAACTATTTTCACACTGACGAAAAGGGCGCTCACATCGGTGTGCCCGTTGGACCGCCAATCAGATTACATATCTTCATTTGGAGATTCCCCCTCCCTGCACAAACATCTTGAATTTGCCAATGATTTCTTGGGGCGGATCCAGAGATGTCCAAAAGGGGGGGGGGCCGAAATGGGTGCCGAAATTTGGGCGAACAAGACAACAATGTACTAGGGGGTCCGGGGGCATGCCCCCGCGAAATTGTTGTGTTCTAGACGCCCGAAAATAACATTTGAGGCGTTGTGGGCTATCATTTTTTTCTTTTTCTTTCTTTTTTTCTTCTTTTTTTCTTTTTTTTTACCACCCAAAAGGGGGGCCGCCCCCCCCCCTAAATCCGCTCCTGATTTCAACACACGAACCTGAGACTGGAAGGAAACCAAAGATATACCCAAATACAAAATACGTGTATTTTCTTCAATCTTCATTTTATTTAAATTATATTCACGCTTTTTTGGCAAAATGGTGATAAAAATCATAACAATGAGAGATTATTATTTACTATTCATGCAATCTCATAGTTGATACAGTAGATTCACATTGGTTAGCTAGTGGTTTCCATACAATCGCTATCGCCGACAGCTTTCGGTGATGCTGATTGGTCGGTCGAATTGGGGAGCCTTCCCGATTTCGTCGGGCAGTGTTCGCAGTAGGTCGGATAACGATTGCAATGAAGCGATTGTAATTAAGGGAATCAGGCTTTGCAAGATAACCAAAAATGAAGGTAGAAAAGCAAGTATTGAAGCTTTAATTATCCGATTTTTTTTATGCAATAGTCGGTAGCGAATCCAGTGGATGGCGAAAGTGGCATTTGCTCTCCCTCCCCCCACCCCCGGCAGCAGCCACATAATCTCTGTCGAAATGCTAAATCAGTTTAAATATTATAAGATTAATAGGGACTAAGTTATAGATACCTTGTTATCTGGACTTCCACATCCATCCGGATACACTTTGTGTTTTGGCTTGGCTATTGCAGTCAGACCTGAATTGCACCACAAAAGGTAAATAAATAAAGTTAATAAGGTGATTTCATTTGGTTAATGATTTCTAATAAGTTCTTGTTTTCATTCCTTTTATTGCTTGTTTTTAAATCAATTTCATGTTTATTTGCTCTAATGCATGCTCTACTAATTGCTTTATAAGTCAATCGCTGTCTTTTAATTATAGTTTTATTTAAATTTTTGTTGTAGCAGTCATCGGTTGCTATAGTGATATGATCAGTATACGTGTTCGTAATTTACATTTAGCTGTGATTTTTGCTCCTGCAGACAGTACGCTTTTAATTAACTACACATCAGCAATTCAGTACGGATACGATGAATACGGTAAAAATTGTGTTAGAAACACTTGTGACGAAAAAATGAGGAATTTGTTTTGCACACAAACCTAAAAAAAATCAAGCCAAGCGTCCACTAATAGAAAAACTAGTGGACGCTGAGGGAAGGCAAATAACATTGGCAGTTACAGTGATGACGTCACGATTGACTTATAATAAGGGTTATTGGATGGAACGCTGAGTAGTGTCTGTCTCTTATACACATCTAGATGTGTATAAGAGACAGGTCTTAAGGTGCTTTCATTTAAGTTTTCATTTAAGTATTTTTCATGATTGACGCACCTCTTGAATGCCCGCTGATGTAATGGTGTCAGTGTAAAAAGTCAATAAATTATTATTATTATTATTATTATTATTATTATTATTATTATTATTATTATTATTATTATTATTATCTCACCTTCAGGGCACTTAAATCTACAATCACCAGTGTCGCCTTTTTTGTTGTGTTCTTCAGCCTTGTCAAACATATCGCCTATCTTCTTCAAGCCCTCAATCACATTCATTGACTTTTCGGGGCTTAGCTCTAGACGGTCACTTAGATCTGGAAACTGGAAGTCGTCGGCCGTCAACACATGCCCCAGGCTACTCACAAGGGTTACAACAAGGCCTAGGTACATCCGTGAGGATTTAGTATCGGGCTCTCTAGAGTAGATATACATCCTACACCTAAATAGAAAGAATAGCATAAATGTCTATATAAATTTTTATAATAACGATAAAAACCAAATATAAAGTACTCTCTGTACAATTTTAAAGCAAAACTTACTTTGTAGGCAGGCCTCTAACCTAACCAAAATGTATAGTCCTACGTCTAAAGCCTACGTGGTTGTTGGTTAAAGGACCTTTTGTCTCGGATACGTGGTACTACCTGTACATTGTTATTGTTTTGGTTGGATAGGCATGAATGACTCCACACACATATTTAAATTTACCCATACAAAAAAGTTCTATAGAGCTCTATAGAATTCTATAGAACTTTATATAGAGTTCTATGTAACTCTATAGAGGCAAAAAAATTCTATAGAAATGTTTTATAGAGTTTACGCATTCTATAGAATTTTAATATTTTCTATAGAATGTTGTATTCCACTCTAAAGAAAATTAGTTTGTTGCACAATTTATGTATTGGTAACCTACAGTGGATTTTCAATAAATGTGTTATTGCAGAAGCTTGGTTTTGAATATGAAACATGATTATTAAATAATAATAATAAAAAAAGAATAAATAAAACTATTGCTTTTGGCTCATGGTCTGATGTTGAGTAACTAAATAATGCATAGAGTTTAATATGTGTATCATTTTGTCGCAAATAATTATGCTTCATATTTCTGGAAAAATTTTATAGAAATCTATAACATTCTCTTTAGAAGCTGTATAGAAATTCTATAGAAAATTCTATAGACATCTATAACATTTTCTTTAGAAGTTGTATAGGAATTCTATAGAATATCTGTTTGGAAATGTATAACAGATGCATAAGTTACAGTATCAATTAGCATGCTCACATTTTAAGTTAAAATGTTAAAAACATTAAATTAAGCATTTAATTTAAACATTTAAGTTAAATTATACATTAAATAAAACATTTAATTAAATGTTAAAAACAGCAAATACTTAGCCTTACACCACATTTTAAAATTGAAATGAAAAATGAATTTAATGCACATATTTGTAACAAATACTTAATTAATCTTACAAAATCATTAACCACAAACCACCATTATGGTGACCATTTTAAAGTTACTGTTAGTGCATGGAGTTATAAAAAAAAATAATTATAACTCCATGGTTAGTGTAACTTAAAACCTAACTACTTTAATCATCATTCCAGATGGGAGAGAGACATCGTTTTCAATAACCAGACAATGGATCAGGCCGTGATAGGGGTCCAATTTATGAGTTGAGATGCACGATTTAGTAAATTATTTATTGTATGAAATGCTATATTATATATACTTTCCTACACAAAACAAATGATTAATTACAGAAGGCTTATATAAATGCATTTAATAAGAATTATAACTCAACTGGTCTTAAATGGTTTCCCCGCCCCTCTATTAAACATGGTACATTCCTCAACTGGGTGGTAAAATTTGAAAGCTAACGGAACGGTCTTCATCGACATCTCTCTCGCTTGCTGCACCCTTTGTTGTTGTGATGTCCTCCTTTTGTTCAGTAATAAAAGCTGTATAACCTTCTGAGCAATTTGCTTCAATATCTCCACCTTGGCAACTCTCACTTCGTGGACACATGTGAACTGCAGGAATTGATCCTGTATATACGGTATCTTTTAAACTTTCAGGGTTAGAAGGTTCGAAAAACGAATTACTAATGTTTTCAACAAACTGTTTGTACTCGTTTAAACTACCGAGGTCATCTGGACCAACATAACCAGTGAAATTCCACGACCACCAGTAGCCGGCTTTCAGTTTCTGGAAGCCACCTGTGCAATCGGCGCCGCTTATACACGGTTCACATGCACCACTAATTTTAGACATTTCACCGAAATTATTAAAATTCATCCTGCTCTTGGTGGTTGCCTGTTTATGAGTTTTCGATTTAGAAGCCTATAAGAGTATTCAATTTGTTTGCATTTTTTTTACCCCCAGATTTCCTGAGGCTTCAACCACTCTTTTGAGGCAGTCTCTGCCAAACAGAATAAAGAAAATGAACAAGCCTAAAAATTGGGAATACCATGTATGCATTTTTGTTTTTAAATTTGTTATTTAACTTTAATTCCAAACTTCGTTTTATTAGATTTGTGTAAGTATTTTATTATATTTGATGTTTCAGTGTGTAGGCCATCTTAAAGTTAGGTTCAGAAAAGTTTTTTTTTTTTTATGTTGTAGAACTGATTTTTTTAAAACCCAAAAAAAATATTTGATGAAAAGATTTGAAGCGGTTAATGAGATCCAGATTTTTTAATATTAAAAAACTGGGGGAAAAAGAGACATAACCACCCTTTTTCCCTCCTTAGTTTTCCCCAGTTTTTAAATATTCAAAAATCTGTATCTCTCTCATTAACTGTTTCCAAGTTTTTTGTAAAATATACTTTGAGGCTTAGAAAGATTAGTTCTACAACATATCAACAAATTTATGTCCTCCAGAGCTTGGCTTTATTAAATAGTATGCTACTTCCACATCAATAATTATATTTACCCTTGTCATATTTTCTTTAAAAATAACATTCGTTTAAATATTTTTGTCTTGCCATATTATTGTATATACAGTACATAAAATCAATATTTTCTTATTTATGTGAGTAGCAATTATTTCAGTACTGTTTGTAGCTCTAGTAGGTTTGGTTTAGTACCTGAGTATATTTTTTCTTTAAAGTTTAAACTTAGGGGCCAATCACAATTGAAAACATAGTGTATTAAAAGAGTACTCTTTTTTGCCACCTCAACCCCTTTAAAAAGTGTACATACATGAAAAATGTTGATTTTGCAATACCGTTCTCTAGGTTTAAATATATCCATATTGGCATGTTATTAAATTTAGAAAACCGATTTCAATCAATATTTTAAGCTTTTGTAAATTCTTTTCATTTAATTTTGTATTTAGTATTAGGCCTTTTCCCCCTTAGCATACTGTTTATACATTTGTTGATAATTATGAACCGTCCATACAGTGCAGGGTTATCCACGTTATGTTTTGAAATTTCTTTTTTGAGTCATTCACATCTATTAAATGTGTGTAAAGTTAAATCTACAGTAATACTGTACTGTAATAGTATATAAAAATATGTAAAACTTTTTCTTTCATCTACCCTTATCAATATCGCTTACAGTACTTTGATGTTATTTAATATATTTGTAATATTTTATATAGGCCTGCAATTTACTGTAAATACAGCTATTATATAAAATTATTTTTATAAATCTTTATATGTTTGCACAATACCACTAGTGCTACATCGTGTGACTTCATAATGCTAGTAAAATTCAATGCAGTTTATTCTTTTAAGATATTGAATCCAGTTTTTTTTTTTCTACTATTTAAATGATACAATGCAAGTATTTTAGTTTGGTTGTTTGAACTGTGATATATATGTTTAATGTGTGTTAAATAAAGATCTTGAGAATGAATACATTTTGTTGGGATTTCTGTACAGTGGGTTCAAACATTTCATGTTTCCTGCAGTACCATGAACTACCAAAACACACTTGTACATTACAATCATCTTGTAGGCCTATGATTTTTTATTTTTACACTTTTTTTTTATTCGTGACAACAATTTTTTATTGATCGAACGATACAGATTTCTATAAAAAAAAATTATATCAGCGTTATTTTCTAGAGAAGTGCTGTGAATTTCTATGAAAATTAATTTTATCAGTGTTATTTTCTAAAGAAATGTTGTTTTTTTTCCTATAGAAAATATAATATATCAGCATTATTTCTAAAGAAATTCTGTACATTTCTAAAGAGAATAATACAGTTTTCCATAGAAAATATATTATATCGGTGTTATTTTCTATAGAAATGCTGTTATTTTCCATAGAGATTTATATAGTTTTCTATAGAAAAATATATATCTGCAATAATTTCTATAGAAATGCTGTTCTTTTCTATAGAAGTATTGTCAATTTCTATAGAAAATAATAGTTTTCTATAGAAAAGAAATTATAACAGCATTACTCTCTATAGAAACACTTGCTGTTTTCTATAGAAATGCTGTTAATTTCTATAGATTCTTATAGAGAATTAAGCCACTTTTCTTTAGAAATTGTATAGAAATCCTTTAGAAATTGTATAGAAATCCTTTAGAAATTGTATAGAAATCCTTTAGAAATTGTATAGAATATTTTTATATATTTTCTATAGAATTTGTTTGAAATATTCTATAGAACTTATATAAAATTTTCTATAGATAATCTATAGAATACTATATAGAAAATCTATAGAATTTTTTTAATAGAATTCTATAGAAAATTTTTGTATGGGTATATAATGAATATTTATGACGATGGGTTCCTTAATATGGTTGTAGTTTACATATAAATTTACACTTATTTGGGTTATTTTTTTAGATGTCATCTTTATATTTCTTTGTTTTTTGTTCTTTACTCTGTTTTCAGCAGAATTATATAATTAATAATATTAAAAAGCCTGTCGTCGTGATTGTGTAAAACGAAGTGCAGTAGTTGAGTTTGTTGGGAAATAATGGTATCTTCCTGACCCTGACCCTGACCCACACGCCACCAACGTGAAAGGCGATGACTGAAGAAAAGAAAAGGGTACAAAGTACAGTTTTGTATAAGGATCGTGGGGAAAGGTAAAAGGCTAGAATGCCTGTACTTTTAATATCCACTGTTTGCTATTACAGTTGTCATATGGCCTTTGACGTTGGTGGTATTATGATAATGATTTGTTAGTTTCTAGGCAAGCCCCTCTAGTTAGCTAGATAGCCTACTACTACATACTAGGCCTACTACTAGCTAGGGGCCTACTAGGCCTAGCCTGAATGACGTCCGGTTCGGCCGCGAGATATTCAGTGTCAAAATAAGCAATTAGTAGAGCTCCGCATAGTACACTATAGGAAAATTATTATACTTAGGTTAGATTTAATGCTTGAACAAATTTCCTGAAGTCCTGCAAGGCCCGAAGGAAATTTTTGAATGCATTAAATCTAACCTAAGTATAATAATTTTCCATTTAGTGTACGAAGCATGCTCTACTAATTGCTTTATAAGTCAATCGCTGTCTTTTAATTATAGTTTTATTTAAATTTTTGTTGTAGCAGTCATCGGTTGCTATAGTGATATGATCAGTATACGTGTTCGTAAATTTACATTTAGCTGTGATTTTTGCTCCTGCAGACAGTACGCTTTTAATTAACTACACATCAGCAATTCAGTACGGATACGATGAATACGGTAAAAATTGTGTTAGAAACACTTGTGACGAAAAAATGAGGAATTTGTTTTGCACACAAACCTAAAAAAAATCAAGCCAAGCGTCCACTAATAGAAAAACTAGTGGACGCTGAGGGAAGGCAAATAACATTGGCAGTTACAGTGATGACGTCACGATTGACTTATAATAAGGGTTATTGGATGGAACGCTGAGTAATGTAATAACTGCGTGCATTGGATATCACAGTGCAACGTTGGCCGCGGGTTAGCAGGTGGCCTAGGCTCTAATTACGATTATGTGCACTTATTTTCCTTGAGATTTTCCATGCAAATTTGAGCTGGTTTTTGAGGTATCATCTGCGCAATAAATAAAAACTTTACAGTATGGAACCGGGGAAGATAATAACAAAAGGCCTAGATAAATTTAATTAGACCTAGTACTCAGTGGTACTTGTAGTAGTAGTGTAATAGCCTACCTTACTGGCTGGGGCAGAGGGCCTCACTAAGCTAGTCTACTGTATTAGATGGCCTACCTAGGTTCCAAATATGGTACAGTAGGTGGTTGGCTTAAGTAAATTGAATGCCTTATAGGACCATTTTTTTTTTTCATTTCTTAGATATGATTCAAGATGAAAGGTGATGTTAGTACCTGGACTTGTTCAGATGTGGAGGAATGGCTAGCTCAGAATGACTTTAAATCCTATAGCTCACTTCTCTGTAGTGTGCATAAAATAGACGGCAAAGCTCTGTTATTACTCAGTGAGTATGATCTTAGAAACCCACCACTACAATTGAAAGTACTTGGAGACATTAAGCGGCTTATTCTTCTCATTTCCAATCTTCAGAACAGTCAAGTACACCAGCTTGAAAATTGTAACATACTACAAACAAATGGCATAGCAAATTCCGGAGATGTTATTCATTTACGTCGAAGAAATATAAGATCCAATAAACCATTTGGCTACAGGACTCAGGTTTCTACAGACAGCGGTAAGCCACAGTTTAGGCGTGAAATACGCAAGACTATTATCAGCTTTTTGTATGGTTTCGTTGTGGCCATATTGACAGCTTTTGTGATGGTTGTCGTGCATGATCGAGTTCCAGATATGGCCAAGTACCCGCCTCTACCTGACATCTTCCTGGATAGCGTACCTATGATACCTTGGGCTTTTCAAGCATGTGAAATGTGTGGATTAATTCTTGCCGGAATATTCACATTAACAATTTTCCTACATAAACACAGGCAAGTTGATAGTTTGAATAGATAATAACAATGGGAATGATAATAGATTAGGAAGCATGCAAGCAGCCTGAGTTGTCATTGTTGTTTAATTCTAGGATGCAGTTTAGCCCAAATCTAAATTGTACAGGGAACGCAGAATAATCACAGATTGGAAGCTCCATAATGATGATAAAAACAAGAGCCTTTTTGTTGCAAACCCCACTTAAATATGTTTACATTCTGCCTAAAATTGCCATAGCTAGAGCTCCCTTAGAGTACCATAAAATATTTTCCGATGTGCAGCAGCGATTGCCCCAGTTGGGTTAGGGAAAAATTTGTTGAGGACTCCTAAAACGTCTATATTCCTTCTATAACTCACGCAAGTAATGAGATCCTCTGTAGGCCAAGAGTGATGTCTCCTTGGAACCCCCAACCTTTCCCTCATCCTTACCACTTAACATTATTATTTGGACTCATGCCTCGCAACTAAATGCCTAGACTTATTTTTTTGGTTGTGTACAAAAAGTCCAAGAACAGCATAGAATATAATACACCACCACTGTGTCGAATTGTTGATATCTCGCATTGATCAACAATACAGTATGCTACATTACTTACTAACACTAAAGTGTAAACCTCTATTTATTATTTATTTCTGCCGGTTTCCGATTTTTAATTCAAAAATTATGAAAATGGATTGTATTACAGATTCATAGTGCTCCGTCGTTGCTTCGCTCTTCTTGGCACTGTGTTTCTGCTACGATGTGTCACTATGTTTGTAACATCCCTGTCGGTGCCAGGCATTCACTTGCAGTGTTCTGGAAAGGTAAGCATTTATGTTTTAATAAAATTTCTCTTAGTGAGACTTGTTTATGTTCAGTGGTGGATCTAGGAATAAATGAAGATAGTTTAATCAATCAGATAACCAGTGCTTATACTGTAGAGCACAAGTAGCCATCTTTGTTCGGTGGCATAAAGACATTGGCATAATATAATATGGCTCATTTTGATGGTTCTTATTTGAGGCATGTTGTGGCGAAATGGTTAAGTTGTCGCACAATCCAGTATTGAGTAAATGAGCTATAAAATATGGGAGCTCAAAAAAATTCCCTAAAAATCCAAATTTGTTTTTCACTATAGATCAACAGTTTAATGTCTGATTAATCATGTCCCAAAGTATTAGTTCTGGAAGTGGAAAAACAAATTGTTTATTTAACGTTATTTTTCATAGTTCATTCTATTGTTATGAATAACTTTGAAAGGCAATTACTCAAAATCATGTTTATCTTGACTCTAAGAGTACTGTACTTTCACTTTCCAATAACTTAGGCTTGAAATTTCCAATTTGATTTGATTTTAAAGATCACATACTCAGGTATCTGAAAATACCAATAACTTGAATTTCAATTTTTGCTACAACTTTATAGCCATTTTGCCACAACATGCCTCATTTTAGTATTTAGTTAGATTTGGTGCCTCAATTGATATTTATTTTCTCCTTTAGTTTTTGATGAATTTTTAATCCTAATTGGGTAAATCAAACCTGTCACCTAGTATGGAATTAAGTAATTGTATAATGAATAGACCATTAGATGCAGTACTCATGCCTGCTGTACACCTCATGAATTAATCCCAGAGCCTGATTTGTAGCTGACAACAGGCACACAGGAATAACTGATTGGCTGGGGCCCGGGGCCTAAGTAACACTCCAACAGTCGGTATATTTTTAATCTTAAACTTTTTACCTAAACCCTATATACTAACTAGTGTAGTATAATATGCCATTAAAATATTGCTTGTATAGGAACCAATATCCTTGCAGTGGGTCATGTTTATATTCTTCTTCTGATTTCAAAGGTTTATGGTGACATATGGACTAAGTTGAAGAGAACGTTTGAGATTTCATTCGGGCTCGGCATGTCACTCACTGGAGTTCACACCTGCGGTGACTACATGTTTAGCGGTCATACCGTCTGCCTTACTATGTGGAACATGTTTATAACTGAATGTAAGTACATCTTCAGATTTCATTACATCTCATCTTCAGATATTCATATCAAAGAGCAAGTCATTGTGCAGTTGCTTGTATTCTGTTGGCTCACTTCCATCACTTCTGTATATTCGTAAGTGGTTGCTTATTAAATAAATAATAGATAAATAAATAAGTATATACTGTACGGTAATTAAGCACATATTATATCATGAAGTGCTAACTCTGTCAACTAAACTGGTGCTAGCTATTGTGTGTGCTACACTGAATCTTGGAGATATTTCAGGCTTTTAGCCATGTTATGCAGTTTAAACTCCAAAATTATAGAGAATATTGTTGAATCATAATTTGTCATATACTTCTTATCCTCAAATTTATATAATATTGGATAAACTATGCAGGTACTTCTCTCAATGTTTTATATGTGGTGGTGTGGTTTACATTAAATAACCTTTAATAATGAAAACAGTAAAAATTATTTTCTTTTTGTTATTTTTCTAGATACTCCAAGGAATTTTTCACTTCTTCATACAGCAACATGGGTTCTCAATTTGTTTGGTATTTTCTTCATCCTTGCGGGACATGAGCATTACTCAATTGATGTTGTCATCGCGTTTTATATCACCTCTCGTCTATTTTTGTATTACCATACTCTTGCAAACAATCAAGCTCTACAGCATGGGGACAAAAGAGCCGAAGTGTGGTTCCCAATGTTTTACTATTTTGAATCCAACGTCAACGGTATCGTACCAAATGATTACGAGTGGCCATTTAATTGGCCAAAATCAGTGAAACTGTATTTCCAAAAAGACCACTACCAGCAACAAGATTGAATAGGAGGCAGCTGAGAGTGTAACAGGTGGGCAAAATGTGGCCCAGCAGTGATTTTGTTGCAGCCCACGAAAATAAATTATAATCCATATGTGTGTGGCCTGCCAACCACCTGCAGCTAGAAAACCTCTTGTTTTGTACGGCCCGACACTGATCACACACCGAAAAAGTTATTAGAACTGAGCATAGAAAGGTATAAAAGCAGCCCATAAAGGTTTTTAGAAGCACACTGGAAACATCAAACTTTAGGTGCGGACCTCATTGTTAAGTCAAAAGTTCACTTTGTCCCTCAGACCTATTTTTATGCTCACCCCTGCTCTATTGGTATCACTTGAAAGGTATAAATCTAAACCATCATATTTTATTTCATTATGCAAATGGCTTCAAATACACATGATGCTCACAGGTCGAAAAAGAGCAGCTTTCAGTCACATGGGCCCTGACAACAATATGTTGGGGGCCAGCAAAATAAGTTAAAAGCAGCCATTATTTAAAAAAAAATTGAATTTAATCATTTAAGACTTAAAAAATACATTCCTATTGTAAATCTCAAGATTTTGGCTAGAAGCCCCTCCCTTCACCATTCATTGGTTTACTGATATGGAAATCAGTGGCGGATCCAGGAATTCGAAATTGGGGGCCCAGGCCGGGATTTTTACAGACAGGAGTCTGGACCATCTCAGCCACACCATGGTTGGGGCTGAGGTTAGAAAATTTATGATTGACACCCCTAGATGGCCGGAAATGGGTGCTCTCAGACCTAAATTAGATTATAATTTTTCTTTTTTTATTCATATTTTTTGAAAAATTTAGGGGGGCCCAGGCCAGCTCAACTCCCCTTGAATCCGCCGAGATGAAATTCATTTTTTTATCTGGCAGTCGTGATATATTGAATGTGCTTGTATAATGAGCAAGCTTTGCATCATTCCTTTAATTTTCCCACAGTGAAAATACAGTATATGTAAGTGTTTCTTGCAGTAATTATTAATAGTTAAGCAACAAAGTATAGTAAATTTATGGATCTTTTATAGGCCAATGGTTAATTGTAGTTGTAATGATAATTCAAGAAAAATGAATGAAGTTGTTACAGTAGTTACAACAGAATATTGTACTTGTAGCTCTTTGAACTCTTGAATAATCAGGCTTCTTGTTTTTTAATAATAGTATTACTTTTCTCCCTGGGGTGGCACCAGGATTTGTCCGACGGGGATTGTCCCCGACAGGCAGTGCCTTTGTCCCTGATGAGATAAAAGTAGGTGTAGTAAGGCATTGCTCTCAAAAGTGTTTCAGGGAGCAAAGCCCGCGAAAAATATGACAATTTAGTGGTTTTAAAATGCTTATTTCATCGATTTTAGAGTCTACTAATATGTAGAAAATACATATACATATTTGTTTCTCTTTTAGGTCTGCCCCACTGACGCCGCCCCTCATTTCTCCCTCCAATTAAAGACCACTTTTGAAACCAGAGTTTCCTGGTCTTAAGAAGCTTTGTTCTCTAATTACAAAACTTATAATAAAGGATGTGTATTCGACTGGTTTGGATGCTAGCTTGGTGTTTATTGTTTTTTCTTTTTTCTTGCTTTTTATTGATTCTGCTCTTTTTCGTTGCCTTCTTACCTACTGTATTGTCGAGCACATAGAGACCTCTTTTATTTGTGCTATATAAATCTGTCTATTATTATTATTATTATGGTGTTTAAATATTAATTATATTATGATATAGATTAATAATATATAGAAAATAACTAAATAATTATGTACAAAAACTCTAATGCAAAGATAGAAGATTGATTTTTGTTAATTTGATATTATGTAGGTTTTCCAACAAAAACAAAACGATAATTATCATGGTTACATCATCATCAATTGTAGATTTTCTTTAGCTGATTCTTATTCATGTCTTTCGCAGCGTATCTGCGTTTTTTTTAATGGCTTTATTTTGTAAATCACCGACCATATTCATAGGTACAAAAACAGATAACATTTTCAACATATTTACTAATTTGTATCATTTGGATCATTTTGTCTTTTTGGGAGAGTCAGACTAACCATGGAGGAAATATATTAATATATTTCCTCCATGGACTAACTAATGATCAACTAGAACGGCTACGAATACATGCGTGTCCCACAGACATTAGGCAGTTTTCGCCGCACGACGTTAACCTTAACGTTAACGGATGACGTCATAATGTATTCATCTTGCGTTGCGGAGTACGTTAATTTCATTATTTTACGTGCTCGACATACGTTAATAACGGGTTTGCGCATGCGTATTTCGATTTGTTTACAAAAGGGGCGGAGCTATCGCGCTGCATTTCGGGTACTAACGTTAAAGTTAAGGTTAACGTCGTGCAATGAAAACTACCTACTTGCTGTCCCAAAAAAATGCAAGTATTTACGTATGCTTATGCACACAGTCTTTTGTGGGGTCTTTGCATAAATTTTTTAAGGGGCAGTGATTATTAGCGGAACTGTCCAATTTAGGCACAATTAACGAAACTCACATGTGGCGTGTTCATTACCCTTTTTTCGTAAAGTAGCAAAACCTCTCTAATATTCAGATAAGTAGTTTTCATTATTTTAAAACCTAATCTGTGTAAAATGTATATATAGTGCAATTGTGCTTGCAAATGGTGGGGCAAAAGAGTTTTGCAAAATTTTTAGCACTGTTCTAACCAATGACTTTTGAAAATTCCATTTTACAGCATACATATATATGGTATGCAAAATCTTTATTTTTATTGAGAATATTTTAAAACATTTTAATTATTATGTATGATGTTTCATTATGATATATAATAATGTGCTTACTTACATTCACAGGAACCAAAGCTATAGTTAACTAACTAAACCGTGTAATAGTTGTGCTTGCAAATCACAGACTGATAGTGGTGCAGAAAAATGTTTTCCAGAATTATAGTACTGTACTAATCGTTCGTTTGATGTAGAGTAGGCCTATATGCATCTTTTTCAGTTTATTTTATTTGATAATGTTTTAAAATTAAATATGATTAATATGCTTAGGTAACTTAATTATTATATCTACTGTCAATTTATTTTAAAAAAACCATAAAAAATCGAATAATACAACACAGATCAAAACAAATAGATATTGAATTACAGATCATTTACTACAAAAAAAAAGATATAAAAATATATCTATAGGCCTACGTCCGTTCATTCTAATTATTAAATGAAAGCTAATAACTTGCCTTTATACACAGATTAAAAAATTAATATTGTATGCCGCCCGCTATTGTTAGTATAGTTTTTGTGATATTCACCGAGGCATGCATTGATTGATTCAGAATTTATTTTTTATAATGCTACATACCATGCACTTGATGTATTTCATTACTTGATTAAAATGCTCCTGCTGCAGTTGTCCATTATTATAATCCATTTAACCTTGCACTATCCCTCAACTGAGGCCCTAATTCAACCAACACCATCTCTGCCTGCTGAAAGCAACTAAAGTGTCCCTGGAAAGAATTGAACCCGCGATCTCTCGCAGCTAGTACCATACAACTAGGCCATAGAAGCTAGTGGTTCTTCCTGTCAAGGAACGTTTTTTTTTAAGTTGATAACGAACTCTTTCGTTGATAGACTGCCCAATCGATATGTACAGTACATCACTATTCCTTTACTTGAACACCTATCAATATTTGATTATTTATAATGGGTATTCCACAGTGCATCAGAGTGGCAACAAACACCTCTCCAGAGTTTTATATAGTCCTATATATGTCTCTTATACACATCT